TGTGCCTCAATTAGACACAGTGCCTCAGGGTTATAAGTTCTCAAAGGGCTTACAGAAATATTTCAAGCTCCAGCCCCAAACCCCTCAATTAATTGACTTGGAATATGAAAAGAAAAACCATCCCTATAATGGTTGTAGCAGGAATAGAAGGTACAGTCACAGGTGATTTTGAAGAAAATTGAATGAATTCTTTATAGAGCTGCAGATAGGGTTTAAAGGAGCTCACAAGGGATGCTGAAGTTGCCCAGTGACTAGGAACCGGAAGCTGGAAGCTGTACCTGCTCCTCCCCACTCTTGAACACCAGTAAGAAGCAGTCTACGAAAGAGGAGACCCTAACAGGAGCTGCCATTGTGGCGCCAGTCACTGGCAGAACCACGGAGGTTCTACACAGGAACAGAGTGGGGAAGAAACCTCTCCCTCCCTCCCTCCCTCTTCCCACCTCCTCCTTGGCTAAATTGGTTGTGAAAAGAGCCAGAGTGATATTCAGCTGAAGGTCCATCCTCCAGAGCACAGAGTAAGACGAAGAAGGGTGGAAATGGGTGGGGAGATGCTCACATGAGAAGAGCCAGCACAGGAAGTGTACAATCAGACATTTGTTTTAATTATATGCCCAAAGGACTTATGTCAGCAGGTCAAGTGCAAGCCTACTCTTCTAGGTACCCATATAATGAGTGCAAGTAAAAATGGTTGATATGAGTGGTCCTCCCTGGTGGCGCAGCGGGTTAAAGCACTGCACTAAGAAGCTTAAGCCACTTCCACATGAGTTCAATTCCCGCGTGCCCCGGAGGAGATCCACATGGCGCGGCAGACCACTCCTGGCCCGCCCGCTGCTCCCCTCAGCAGTGTACTTCGACAGTCTACCTGTTCTGCTCCCCACTCTGTCTCTGGTGAATCCTCTCACCCTCCGCATCTCTGGCCTGTACCCCAGTTCTATATGAATAAATAAATAAATCTTAAAAAAAATGGTTGATATGATGAAGGGAGTGCTGAGATCCTAGTTCTTTTGAAGATTTTAAAATCTTCCTCCCTTCCCCGCTCTGTCCCTTCTACTCACCCTTTTCTCCCCTCTTAGCACTGGGAGCAAACTCCAGAAATGCTCAATTTGTCTTATTCATCTCAGTATCTCCACATCTACTAGAGTTGCATACAACAAACATTCAACAAATGTTTGGTGTTTGCATGAAGGACCAAGTGAATGTAATAACAGCCAAGTGTAGTGTATAATGTTCACTGAAGTTACACGAATTTTCACAGCATATAAAGTACTTAACTTGGCCAAAGTCCGTTCAGATCTCATATTAGTTGGTAAAAGACTGATTACGTTTTCTGAACAAATATTAAAAAAAGACCATGTGGGTTTTTGTTCGATTTGAGTAGCACTTTCTAATCTGTGAAGTTAAGTGCGGCAAGTTTGATTATCCCATTTTTTCCCTTAATGATGACAGTTGTTACATGTAAATATCCTAAACAAATCTAGTCAGTGGGTAAGAGACTCCGCATTCAAGACAAAAGCACAGACTCCCGACAGTGGTTGTAGCCATTCACTGCAAGATTTAGCCTTCCTGTTAGAGTCCTCTCTTCATATTACAGACTTTACCTCTTGACGGTTTTCCAAGAAAGTTACCATTTGTAAGTAAGGAAGAGGATTATTGTAACTAACGACAATACAAAAATCAGCTCTTATCTTACAGATATGTGCTCTTGGTTTAATGAGGAACAAAAGGGCAATTTGTTAGAAACAAGGATCTGCAGATGTTTGTAAAGCCAGTTACCACTGATATAATGGTGAATGTACCAGGAACACTTAGGATCATTAGTCTCTGCCCGGCTTACTTAGGATTCTGTGTTTTAGGGAGAAAGGACTGCATGGAGTAGGAAAGCTAGAGTCTTCCCCTATGAAAAACAGTATGGAGGATTCTCAAAAAATTAAAAATGTATCTGCCATGTGATCCAGTAATTCCACTCTGTTTTTGTGTCTGAGGACACAAAAACACTGATTTAAAAGGAAGCCTGCACTCCCATGTTTACTGCAGCACCATTTACAACAGTCAAACTATGGAAACAACCTGAGCACCCAAAAACAGAAGATGCGGATCAAGGAGATGTGCTACATATACACAATGGAATATCACTCAGTGATCAAAAAGGATAAAATCATGCCATCTGTGGCAACATGGATGGAGCTGGGAGGAATTATGCTAAGTGAAGTAAGTCAAAAGGAGAACGATAAATACCAGATGGTGTAACTTACATGTAGAATATAAAAAAACCAAACAAAGGGCCAGATAAAGACAAGCTTCAAAACTACGCCCTGAAAGCTGACCATAAACCTGAGGCATCCGAGGGGGGGAAGGGTGGAGCGAGCACAAAGCCATGAGGGGCACAATGGGCTGTGGTGGTGGAATACATATGTGAATGTCATCAATATAAGCATATGCTTGATAGAAATCTATACTAAACTTGCTCACCTAGGAAAGAAGACCATCTTTTCATTTTGATAGTCTAATATGGAATTCTAAAGAAAGGTGCAAAAGGAAGTAATCAAATGCATTTCAAATACAGGAATATTTGTCATTAAATATGGGGTGGATGGATGATTATGGCAGGAGAACTTAGGAGCAAATCGACAGAAGCAAATTTGAAAACTGAATCATGAAAGTTTGGATGTTGCCAGACTTCACTCTTATTCTTTCAGTTCAAATTATTTGCTTATTTTCATGTTTTGTAGTCAGAATTAACTGAATATCATAATAGGAGGTATTCATCCATTCCCCAAATAGTTACCAAATTCCTACTGTGTGCAAGAGGCTTCCATGTAATGTAAAAGAAACGATGCTCCAACCTGTGTGAAAATCATTAAAAAGTAGTCTCAAGTTTTGGCAAAAGAGGCAAAGCAGGGTATAAATAAATGAAAGACTTATTGTTGAATGTTTATATGCATAGTGTATGATAAAAGTGTATGACTGATAATAAGGGTGGAAAGGATAGTTAGGAAGGGTTTGATGTTCAGAAGATGATTCTGCCATTTCTTTGTATGTAATATTCAATTTCCTCATTTGGAAAATGGGAAAAGGGTACCTAGCTGCTAAGAACTTTGTGAAACAACATTGTGAATATTGGAAATTATGCATCTGAAGAGAATAACATGATTCTCAGCACAAAGTAGATACCCAATAGCTGCTGTCTTGTCAATAACTCATATGTAATCTAGCAAAGAGTCAGCTTCCACAAATCCTTGGTGAACATAGTCATTGAGTCCACTGTCCTAGTACAGATCATGCAGGTTATACTTTTAGAGTAAGGGCTTTGGTAATGTCATTTTAAAAACAACTGGGAAGCAGATGAGGCATAGGTGAGAGTTCATTTAACAATCAGAATAGAATGCTTACAATTTAATATATATAAAAGTGGCATGAATGATAACCCAAATCTTTCACATAAAGAATGTAGAGATGAATTTCAAATATTTCCACTGCATCAGGATTAGAATGCTAGTCACCCTCGGCTCTGCGCTAGCCCACAATAGGGTTGGCCTCAATTAAACCTCTGTTTAATTTTTTTCTGGTAAAGTACCTTTCTGGCGTTTAAAAAGATGTTTAAACTTTTATTGCAGATCATTTTAATACCCTGTTGTATGTGACATGTATTATGCAATTGCTATGACCATATCTCTTTGATATTTGCTTATCAATGGCCTATTTTTACTCTTTTCCACCACAAAGTTTTCTTGACTTTTGCACTAACAAGTATTTACTCATTTTTAAAGGATTCACCATCAGAGCAATTTAATTTTATGCCATTTGCTAGTGACTAGTTACATTAAAAACACTTTAATTAGGCCCTTGTTTAATATTGCAAAAGCTGCATATGAAAAGTTTAATTCTATGTGGTAGAAAATGGATCTATTCTGCAAGTTGGTTTTCCTTTCCTTTTTTTGGGGGGGGGGGCGGTTCCGGTTTCTGAATTACGATTTTGAAAATACATCAGGCAGAATATACCAAGTGAAGGCGATCGCGAATGCAAAACCCACTCCCAGCTTTTGGAAAGAGTTGTGGGGAACGCCAGCCTGCCAATAGTTCACTTTTGGCTAACACAGCATATTGTATTATTTTTCAAACAAAAGTTGGAAATCTGCGGATACTCACCCTCCTAACGAGGGATGGGCAGTTCGGCCGCTCACACCCCGCGGGAGGGGTCGTGTTCTTACGCACGCCCACGCCCCTCGCAGCGACTTCCACCTGTGCGCGCGCTCGGCAGCGAGCGGGCGACCGGGAGCGGGCTGCAGAGGCGCGAGTCGCACCCTCGAGGACGTTCCCGAGCACTTCCAGCCGGTGAGCAAGTCTCTTTCCCCTGGGCGGTAATCTGGCCCGGTTAGCTCAAGCCTGGGTAGGAGGAACCGCTAACTGCAGAAAGTGGATCTGGAGGGGAGTGCGTGGCAAAACCCATGGGAATTTAAAAAATAATCATAAAAAAGTGTTTCAGGCAATGAGCTGCAGGCCACCCGCGAAGGAGTGGCTCTGCTCCAGCTGCCCTAAGGGGTGGCTTTTCCCAGCTCCTTGAACTTGCTGGAGTTGGTAGGGAAGCGCCGGTCTTTTCGGTGCGTGCCCGGGGTGGGTGGCGGCAGAGAGTCGAAGACTGTGTCCGGCATGGGACTTGACGCGCACCGCGGGTCCCACAGTGCGTGGACTGCGACTGGCTTTTCATTCTTTTGGCGGGAGGGGAGCGGGAGGTGGCGGTGGGGGGCGGCCGCGAGGAAACCGCCCCGGGCTTTCCCGGGCTCTGGCTCGCGCGGCTGTCAGCGCCCGCGCGGGC